TGCCTTACTAGTAGTAACAAGAAGCTACTAGTAACAAGTGCATCGCTCCTATTAACAAGTGCCTTACTAGTAGTAACAAGAAGCTACTAGTAACAAGTGCATCGCTACTAGTAACAAGTGCCTTACTAGTAGTAACAAGAAGCTACTAGTAACAAGCGCATCGCTACTAGTAACAAGTGCCTTACTAGTAGTAACAAGAAGCTACTAGTAACAAGTGCATTGCTACTAGTACCAAGCGCCTTACTAGTAGTAACAAGAAGCTACTAGAAACAAGTGCATCGCTAATAGTAACAAGTGCCTTACCAGTAGTAACAAGAAGCTAGTAGTAACAAGTGCATCGCTACTAGAAACAAGTGCCTTACTAGTAGTAACAAGAAGCTACTAGGAACAAGTGCATCGCTACTAGTAACAAGTGCCTGACTAGTAGTAACAAGAAGCTACTAGTAACAAGTGCATCGCTACTAGTAACAAGCGCCTTACTTGTAGTAACAAGAAGCTACTAGGAACAAGTGCATCGCTACTAGTAACAAGTGCCTTACTAGTAACACGAAGCTACTAGGAACCAGTGCACCGCTACTAGTAACAAGTGCTTTACTAGTAGTAACAAGAAGCTACTAGGAACAAGTGCATCGCTACTAGTAACAAGTGCCTTACTAGTAGTAACAAGAAGCTACTAGTAACAAATGCATCGCTACTAGTAACAAGTGCCTTACTAGTAGTAACAAGAAGCTACTAGGAACAAGTGCATCGCTACTAGTAACAAGTGCCTTACTAGTAGTAACAAGAAGCTACTAGTAACAAGTGCATCGCTACTAGTAACAAGTGCCTTACTAGTAGTAACAAGAAGCTATTAGTAACAAGTGCATCGCTGCTAGTAACAAGTGCCTTACTAGTAGTAACAAGAAGCTACTGGGAACAAGTGCATCGCTACTAGTAACAAGTGCTTTACTAGTAGTAACAAGCTACTAGTAACAAGCGCACCGCTACTAGTAACAAGTGCCTTACTAGTAGGAACAATAAGCTACTAGTAACAAGTGCTTCGCTACTAGTAACAAGTGCCTTACTAGTAGTAACAAGAAGCTACTAGTAACAAGCGCATCGCTACTATTAACAAGTGCCTTACTAGTAGTAACAAGAAGCTACTAGTAACAAGTGCATCGCTACTAGCAAGAAGTGCCTTACTAGAAGTAACAAGAAGCTACTAGTAACAAGTGCATCGCTACTAGTAACAAGTGCCTTACTAGTAGTAACAAGAAGCTACTAGGAACAAGTGCATC